ACACAAGAATGTAGTAGTTCATCTTGTTGTTTCTGGTACAACAGGTGATTGGAAAGGAGGCGAGGGCAGTGTACAACGCGGGCCAAGCAACGGGTATGACGTTTTGGGCACCAAACATAAACATATTTAGGGATCCACGGTGGGGAAGAGGGCAGGAGACACCTGGGGAAGATCCGAAAGTGACGGGAGAATATGCTGTGGCTTATGTAAGGGGACTCCAAGGAGACTCATTCGACGGCCGGAAAACACTCTCCGGCCATCTCCAAGCATCTGCTTGCTGCAAACACTTCACTGCTTACGATCTTGATCGTTGGAAAGGCATCACTCGCTACGTTTTCAATGCTAAGGTATTTCTGCTGTTCCTTTTTAGGTGAAAAATATGTAAAAGGTGACATTTTTACGATTTGAAGCTTTTCAAAATTTATATAATGAATTGTGATCTTTGAAAAAAGCTAATCCCTCTTTTTCTTATTATGGTAATTGGTGTTGTTGGTATTAGTAATATCGTCGTAGATGTAGTGATTTGGGATTTGGGTTTGGTGAGATTCTTCCTTGACTTGCTTTTGAAGCAGTTAATATATGGAGCAGTCCCAAAAAGATTAGATGGGTTAGATGCTGATACCATATTCTGATATGTTATAGATACTATTTGGATACATGTTGTTGAGATTTCATAACATGGAATTTTGGCTATTGATTCGGTATATTATAGCATGCGGGTAATCATTTGCAAACATATTTACATCTCATAAAAGCTTATTCAAAACGTGATCCTGAGATATCAATTCCACAGGCGAATGATCATAGTCCAAGATTCATATGATCTGACTTGTATGTGGTATGTTTTACAGGTTAGCCAACAAGACTTGGCCGATACTTACCAACCGCCGTTCAGGAGGTGCATTGAGGATGGCAGAGCAAGCGGAATCATGTGTGCTTACAACCGCATCAATGGAGTCCCCTCCTGCGCCGATTCCAACCTCTTGTCCAAGACTGCTCGGGGACTCTGGAAATTCCATGGGTTAGTCCTTTTTTTGCAGTAAAAACGACTTAGAATCACCGTCTTTTGTATCTATATTTTGTATCAAATCTTTGGCGTTTTGGTAAAATCATCAGGTACGTGACTTCGGATTGTGATGCTGTGTCCATCATCTACGATGATCAAGGCTATGCCAAGACTCCTGAAGACGCTGTGGCCGATGTCCTCAGGGCTGGTATATACACGTCTTTATATTGCTCACTTTAAAAAAAAGTTCAAGGAAGATTAAAAAGTTTCATTCTTTTTTGGTTAATTTTATGTGTGCTAGGGATGGATGTAAACTGTGGATCCTACCTGCTGAAACACACTAAGTCAGCTCTCCAACAGAAAAAGCTGTCGGAATCCGACATTGACAGAGCTCTCCACAACCTCTTCTCTGTGAGAATGAGGCTCGGTCTCTTCGATGGCTACCCGACAAAGCAACCCTTTAGCAGCATCCGTCCTGATATCGTCTGTTCTCCAGCTCACCAGATGTTAGCGCTCGAAGCCTCTCGCAACGGCATTGTCCTCTTGAAGAACAATCAGAAACTCCTCCCTTTCCCCAAGCAAAAGACATTATCTCTCGCTGTCATTGGCCCAAACGCAAATGCAGCAAAAACCCTCCTCGGAAACTATTTTGGGCCGCCCTGCAAGACAGTAACCCCTCTTGACGGGTTGCGTGGTTATGTCAAGGATGTTGTTTACCACCAGGGTTGCACCTCTGTGGCTTGCTCCTCGGCAACAGTTGATCAGGCGGTGGAAATAGCTGGAAGAGCTGAACGTGTGGTGTTGATAATGGGACTGGACCAGACGCAGGAGAAGGAGGATATGGACCGTGTGAACTTGAGTCTTCCAGGAAGGCAACAAGAGCTTGTGATGAGCGTTGCAAAGGCTGCGAAAAAGCCGGTGGTCCTGGTCCTCATCTGTGGTGGTCCTGTCGATGTCTCGTTTGCTCAGAATGATGATAAGATCGGAAGTATTTTGTGGGCTGGTTATCCGGGTCAAGCCGGAGGGACAGCCATTGCCGAAATCATATTTGGAGATCACAACCCAGGTTAGCATAACCACCATGAAAGATAACCCATTTGCACAATCACGAACCTACAGATTCTAACAAAGAAAGTGTAACCAAAAGAATCCGAATTCAGATGATACATTGGTCTGTTTGTGTTTGTAGGAGGGAGATTACCAATGACATGGTACCCTCAGAGCTTCGTCAATGTCCAGATGACAGACATGAGGATGCGACCAGAACCCTCGTCTGGATACCCTGGAAGAACATACAGATTCTACAAAGGCCCCAAAGTCTATGAGTTCGGACATGGCCTCAGCTACACGAAATACAAATACGAGTTCAAGATCGAGACAGAAACCAATCTCTATCTAAACCAATCATTCACAACCGCGAAAACCGGCTATTCAGACTCAGATTCTGTTCATTACGCACTGGTTTCAGAGATGGGAAGAGAAGGGTGTGAAGCAACGAAAACAAAGGTGAGAATCACGGTGGAGAATGAAGGGGAGATGGCCGGAAAACATCCTGTGCTGATGTTTGTGAGACATGAGAAGGGAGGAGAAGGGGAACGACCTGAGAAACAGGTGGTAGGGTTTAAGAGCGTGGCACTGAGATCGGCCGAGAAGGGAGAGGTCGAGTTCGAGGTCGGAGTTTGTGAGCATTTGAGCAGAGCCAATGAGTATGGAGTTATGGTTGTGGAGGAAGGCAAGTATTTCTTGGCCGTTGGTGACAAAGAGTATCCACTTACAGTTAATGTCTGACACAAA